TTTGAGTTTTTTTTTTTTACATAATTAATTTATGAATTATTGTCATAATTTTTTTTTTTAGAACGTTTATTTGATGAGAAAGTATTTTTCTTTACACTAATATTAGAGCTTATTTGGAATAATTTTCTAGATTTTATAACTTCGTTTGACTACAATTTTACTTTATTTCTTTCCTGTTGTTTCTAATAATCTCTAAAGTAAAAATATGCTATTTGAAATCAAGATAACAAAATTATTTTTCCGACAATAACTTCACAATCAAACAAACCTTTAATATTGCTTTAGAGACCATTCCAAAAGTCTAAGAATACCATCAAGGATAACAAAAGATATATAAAATAGCTTAGGCAAAATTTTAAATAATATAAATGTGGTGGAATTGACGTGAAATTATTACGTGCGTAGTTCGGACGAGGAAAACCATCCGGATTTGTTGCGTATTTATTAAGTATTTGTTGCACATTTGCAAATACTCAACAAATACTCAATAAATACTCTGCGAATACTCAAATGTGAATGTTGTTGAGTATTTTGTGAGCATTTGTTGAGTATTTTGTGAGTATTTACTTATTTATTGTGTATTTGTTAAATATTTTATGGGCATTTACAAATACCATTAAGTAAATACTTAGTAAATACGCAGCAATCCAGATGGTTCTTCCCGTCCAGACTCCACCCAGAATAATTCCTCATAATTGAGAAGATTTATTTATAATATATTTGTAGCTATATTGCATTTTAAGACAATCAAATCATACGAGATATATTATGTATGGTGGAGAATATTTGGGATAATTGTAGAATTTTATAAAATTATAATAATATTAAAATAAAATTAATAAATTTGAGATTTGTTACATAAAATAATAATTAAGAAGAGGGGGATTAGTATAAACATACCTCAATTTGATCTCCAATGTGAATAATAAGAGCATTAGGGATATATTTGGCATCAAACCAATGGTCATCTTTGAATACTTGCAATCCGGGCACCTCATTGGGCACCAAAATGGTAATTGCAGACAAATCAGTGTGGGCCACCACCCCTAATGCTAGATCTGGTCGAGGGCATGGAGGGTAATAATTTATTTTGAGCAAATATTCCATCTCCTCTCCACCCAAAGCCACCTTCAAGCCTTCCTCTCCAAGCCCTAACCCCTTTGAGAGCCACTTCAACAAATTTTCCACCACAATCAGAAGGTATTGCGCATATTCCTCGTTCACTTTCCTGTTATATTTTGTGAATATAATTATAAAATCAGTAATATTATGAAAATAGATTTCTTATAAAAAATTTCATAAAAATAAAGAGAAAATAATAATCAAATAAAAATTATAATTAAAATCTGATTAACAAAACAAG